TATATCTGGGTTGCGCGAAAAAATATCGTATTGATGGTAATATCGTATTGAGCGTCGGCACTCGCCTGCGGCGAGTGTCAGCGCAGCTGACTTAGCTTAATAAGCTAAGCCTTGGCACGGATATGGTTTTTCTTTTAAACAAGGATATTACAAAGCGCTGACATGTAAGTGCATTGACTCGGGCGGGACTTGTAAGAGCAACGAATCGGCTTTTCCGTTCGGCAATTGTAGGTTTAGTATGTACGTGAGATTAATCAAAAAGCTTTTCTTTCCCTCTAGCTCTGACGTGGTCTTTAAACGTTTCCGGATAGTTGTTGTTTCCATCCTGCAGGACAAGTACCTGTACAAGCCAGTCCACTGTCGCTGTTGAAATTGCTGCAAAGGATCTTGGATTGTCCGCCATTCATTGGCTTGATGTTGATATCCTTGAACTGGAGACCCGTGCAAGGTGTGCTCTTACTGCAATAGATGGCCGCGGCGACATTGTACCTCGAGGTACCCGTGATGTTTTGCCAAGTAATGTCGGAGATTTTGAGGTGCGAATCATCGCATTTGTTGTACGTGTAGATGCACGGCGTGACGTATATGGGCTGGTTGACATCGACTATGTGGAAGTTGCGGAATGTCACATTCCTGACGTATCCTTGGCCTGGGTACGTCTTAATCCATGCAGCGTTGGAACTGTACAAGGCTTGGATATCTTCGAAGACGACGTTTTCGACTGTCTCGGGGATGTTGGGTGGGTTGCCCATGGATCCGATGACCATGGCGCCTGAGCCGTTGCATGTGGCGTTCTTGACATAGACGTTTGTGCTGTTTCCTTTGATGGAGATGCAGTCCTAGGAAGGAACGGTCAGACTTGTGTATATGGTGAGGCAAGATCGACGGGGGAAGACTTACATCGCCGCAGGTAACAACCCAGTTCTTGAGTACAATGTCCCGTGAGTTCCAGCTGTCGAAGCCATCGGTGTTGACGGTGCCCCACTGCGAATCGGAGACGGCCTTCATGTCCAAGTTTGTCATTGTGATGTTTTGCGAGTAAGCGACAAATGTGTGCCTGTGATGTTAGGAACAATGCTGGTTCAAAGGTAGAGCACTAAAACTTACCAGAATTGCACCTTTCTCCAAGTGATTCCGTCAACCACGGCGTTCTTCGCATGCCATAGGGTCAGGCTGATAGGCCTACCAGCCATGTTGGCTCCATTTTTGTTGGCGTCGTACCACACCTGGCCGTTGCCATCAAACAACGCCTGGCCATGGCCCAGAACCGAGAAGTTCTCGCCTCCCAAGCGGAATGCCGTGCTTCTCTGCTGGAAGACGACACTGACACTGTTCTTAACCCAGTATTGGATATCGGGGGTCCAAGTGAGTTTGCCGCGGATATTGATCTCACAATTTTTGAGATTGAGGACGTCGATGACTTTGCCGATGGTGAAGTTACCGGCTGTGATGTCAATCCTTCCGTTTTGCCCACACTGCTTGAAGGCATCGAGGATGGAGTCGCTATCATCAGCTGATCCTGAGGGGGTGACCGTGCATACTGAGCCCACCTTGGTCATGGCACTCAAGGCCGGTGTAGCAATCAGGCATAGCTGTGCAAGCTTGGTCAGAAGCATCTTGAAAACGAGTGAATGAATGGATCAGTGAGTGATAAGCTTTTACAGGGCATAGCTTGGCTATATATCAAGACTTAGTAGAAAGGCTTAGTACTGAGATGCTGGGGTCCCTGAGGTGGAGGTATGCCTGCAAATACCTCCGTTGCACAGTGCCTATACAGAAAGGGGAAATTCAAGTACGATCATTTGGACATTGACAAGAGGCTATTGGTGCGAATACTTGACTAGTGTCCCGTACTCCGCAGAGTCGGCCAATTTACCCAGTCAGTGCTCGGCTTTTTAGGAGCTGGCAATTTATCTGATAGTGTCTATTTCGTTCTTTAGGTTCTGGAAAGAGTTTGATGCCGCACCACGAGCAGGCATGGCCGTTTGCAATTAGTGCAAATAATGGCACATGGCTGTCCGGAGGCACTGTGAAACATTCTAGTCAGATATTAGCTGGTTACAGGTCGTGTCAGAGTGTCAGAGTAAGCGGCCGGGCGACAGCAGGATAGCAGATTGGCGTGATAAGAACCTAAGAATAACCAAAGAGACAACAAAAAGGTCTGCAAGCGACAGATACGGGAGTCTGACAGATCTGAGGACATGGATGTTGGGTGAGCAGGTCAAGGGGTCCTGCGGCAAGGCATGTTAGGGTAGAAACGGGACGGGATGCCAAGCCCACGTCACTGGATGTTTCCGAGATTCGCGGCTCCAAACACCCGTAACTTGTAGTTTGTACAATCGTTCATCCGAGCGATTGCCCAGCCATTGAAAGTCGCACGGGCTGCGCACGACACTCTTGATGATGAACAGTGCCGTCAGCCTGCGGGCTCTGCGCGTCCGGCCCTCGATACCGCGTCATCGCCTGACCCATCGCTCGCTGTTGCAGACACCGACGAGATATGCTACTACATCGACAACGGCCACCGAAGCCGCGACAAATGTCCGATCGGCTGGGACTCGCACGAAGAACTTTGTTTACGGAACTCTATTGGCCGTGGGGGGAACGTTTGGATACCTGTACGTTACGGACACGCGCGCCAGTATCCACCAATGGCTCCTCGTACCTGCGCTACGAGTGATATACCCAGACGGCGAGGACGCACACCACGCCGGCACCCGGATGCTCAAGGTGTTGCATAGTTTTGGAATCAATCCTAGGGAGCGTGGCGTAGCCGACTCGCAGGGTGATCTGGCAGTCGAGGTCTTTGGTCACACGTTGAACAACCCCATTGGAACATCTGCGGGCATTGACAAGGGCGCCGAGGTTCCAACGCCACTGTTCGATCTGGGCGCGGGTGTAGTCGAGGTCGGAGCTATCACATTAATGCCGCAAGAAGGCAACCCCAAGCCGCGTGTCTTCAGGATCCCCAGCCAGAACGCGCTCATTAACCGCTATGGATTCAACTCAGAGGGCGCAGAGCTGGTTGCTTCAAGACTTCGACAACGCGTGCGAGAGTTTGCATATCATGCTGGCCTGGGGCTCGACGAGGATGCCGAACGACGGGTGCTAGATGATGAGGCTGGTGTACCGCCTGGCTCGCTTCACAAAGGGCGCCTCATGGCCGTGCAAGTCGCAAAGAACAAGACGACTTCTGAGAATGACATTGAATCCGTCGTTCGCGACTATGCCACCGCCGTTGGATACGTAGGAAAGTATGCGGATATCCTTGTAGTCAACGTCTCGTCGCCCAACACCCCAGGCCTCCGTACCCTCCAAAATGTCGAACCGTTGACAAAGCTTCTCTCGGGTGTTGTTGGCGCCGTCAAGAAGATTGACCGTAAGACCAAGCCCGCCGTCATGGTCAAGGTCAGTCCAGACGAAGACTCGGAAGAACAGATATCAGGTATTTGCGAGGCCGTGTGGGACTCTGGTGTCGATGGTGTCATTGTTGGTAACACAACCAAGAAGCGGCCAGACCCGCTTCCTAAGGGCTACTTTCTGTCTCAATCAGAGGCCAACATTCTACTTGAACAGGGTGGATACTCGGGCCCCCAGATGTTCGAGCGCACTCTGGCTCTGGTAAAGAAGTACCGAAAGGCACTTGATGAAGGCCCAAAGCACATCACCCTCCCCACGCAACCTGAAGAAATCAAGCCTTCCGCTGAACAAGGCTCAGGTGACGACTCAACCAAATCCTCGATGACCAAGGCCACCCTCGGTCTCGACCAACCTGCTCCTAAACCCGCATCTTCAGATTTTGACGACATCTCCGAATCTGCACCTCTTGTCACCCTGCAATCTACACCCAAGGTAGCGCCTGCACCCGACGCCCCACGTAAGGTCATTTTCGCAACCGGAGGAATCACCAATGGCCGACAGGCACGTGAAGTTCTCGACGCTGGTGCAAGTGTAGCACAGGTCTACACTGCCATGATTTATGGCGGTGCAGGCACGATTACTAGGATCAAGCAGGAGATGAGGGACGATGCCAAGGCACAAAAGACCATTACTAAGTCTTAGTGTATGGAACCCATTAGTGACGATTGGTATTAGACCATATATGTTGTTTATACCAAGATTTCAAGCGTGTTTACTTTAGCTTAAATAAAAATAGACTTGTAACTACCATGTTTCCAAAGAAAGTAAAAAAGTAATCCTTGTTCCCTAGTTCGCAACTCGAAGGTTATATGTACACCAATCCCAAAACACCAACAAGGACAAGCCATATATATACACATGTCTCTTCTGCTCTTTTTCCGTAAGCTTAAGCGGCTTAAGCACCAATCTTGCTCTCAAGGAACTCCGGCGCAGGACCCGCAGCTTCATCAAAGTAGGTAAAGTGCGCGGCGGTAACGGTAAGAGTACCAGAGCACACCAAATCACCCATGGCGCAGAACACCTTTACGTTATCAGCAGAGTACGACTGGATGCCGCCATTGTTCTGCTTGTTCTTTGTGTATCCGAACAGCACAACGCCCTTGACCTGGGCGCGAACGGTCTCGGAGAGCTTGGGAATTGCGCCGGCGATGACCGCAGTACCTTGACTATTCCTTGTGTTAGAAAAAGATGTACATATTGAAATTCTGGGAAAGGGGACGGGGGAAGGGAAGAAGAGTGGTATTTACCTGTAGCCACCCGACACAACGGGAGTCTCGGGGCACTTCTGGTTTGCGAGCTGGAACATCTTGACGGCTTCGTCAATGGCGCCTTGAGAAGTACCGGCTGGTAGGGCGTTGGAGAGCAAATCGGCGGCGTAGGGAGCACCGACGCCTTGGACCCAGACGCTGTCTGCGCCGTATTTGCTCTTGAGCTCCCTTGCGACAATGGGGCCGGTGGAGGAACCCTAGTGACTTTTGTGAGTACTGATGTTTCGTTACTGGAATTGATTGCATGTCTGGACTTACCATGTTTCCGGACTCGCCGCTAGCTCGGGCGAAGATGAAGATAGCCTTGGGGCAGGCGCCGGCCTGGCCTTGCTGGAGATCGTTGCTGGTGCTGGAGCCGAGTTGACGGGCTTCGAGGGCGGTCTCGGAGCGTGTGGTAATGGGTGATGCTACCGCCAGGGCAGTCATCATGGAGAGAGTGAGAAACTTCATCTTGATAGTATATGACGAAGAGCAATTATAAGTTGGAATGGTATGTAGAAGCGAATGTAGTCGGCAGTGATAAAGATATCAAGTGAGCTGTGCCTTGATATCCGTTTCGTTTCACGCAAAGGGCACAGATATATATACACACATTCATCTTCACCCTGCCACACCATGTCATACATCCCGACTCGTTGGTTTCCCAAGATACCCACTCACACTGTAGTACCCTAACCTCGGACATCGGGCAAGGAAAGAAAGGAGTTTCGTGTATCACCGGGTTTACGCGGACTAGGCAACGCTGATCCCCGGACAAAAAAGCACACTAAGACTGACCTTCCATCAAATAACGAGGCTATGGTGCCAGTGGGGCGTAGGCACCTCAGAATAGTGATTGGATGGTGTCCTCGTGCCAGACGGGCGCCTGTCACACCAGCCGTTACGACACCAATGGCTGTGCGCCCGGAGAATAGAGTTTACATGACATATTGACACTGCACGCCGTTCAATCGGGGAATGAAAAACGGTAAAAAGCAAGTAGATGGGTCCATTTTCTTTGCTTTTTGCTTCGAGAAAAACGGCTCGCCTAAGGGGGCGTGTCTCGTATATCGTACTATCGAGTCTATGACAGGATTGGTAGATTCCAGCCCAGTGGGTTCGTGAAGGGATTTGTAAGTTGATGTGTGTATTTGTATGAGACTGGGTTTGTAGATCATCTGCGACACAAAAGCAATGTGCCTCGGTCCAAGAAGAGAAGAGTGCATGATAGGAGCAGGACAGGACGCCGGTAGTCGCCCGTTATCGTCCGCACCAGGCTAGCGGTCCACATATAGCAATGCCGTTCACAACCCATGTAGAAAATCCTCCGTGTCGCATGAGACGTACGAACACGCTATTCGTCATGGCAAAGTCACTGCGCTACCAAATAGCTAGTCATTCAGAAGGTATGTCCATCGGACATCAAAAGAAGGCAATCGTGATTCTGTCCACCATCAGTACTTGTCGAAAGCACCGTATGCACATATGTCCAAATCCGTAATTCCCCGGGGACAAACCGGCAAGTGTAGCCGAGGCGCATATCTATGTTAGAGTATCCGCTGATCGACTCAAGCACAGCTCTCTTGCTTGGGAATAGTCTTGTCATTGCCAAGTCCGCAATGCAACAACCCTTTAATCAGACTTCCCCCTCCTTCCTTCAGAAAAAAAAGACCTAGACCCATATCCGCATGTTGCCGCGGAATCTACGCGATATGACGGGTTGAGAAAAAGAAAAGAAAACCTGCCTCAGATGCGCCCCATCGACGAACACCAGGTGGGTCCTTGCAAATCGCGACAAATTGTCTCAGGTAGATAGGACTCCTCAAACATCACATGACTGCTTTGAGATTGTTGTGCAGATGCGGCACCGCGGAGTGAATGGCTTGGCTATTCTGAATCATGAGCGATCGACCTACATGGACGTCGGCAATGTAGATCGCCAGGGCTAGTAGTGGCATTCTACCCGTAGTCCATGATGATCAGGAACGAAGGAGGACAGGGGCTTACTAAATACGACTGCATCTAAAGCAACACTGCCGAGGCTGTTTCCTTATTCACCGATGCAAAGGATTAATTAGGAAAAGGAACATTGTCAAACGGTCAATATAGTATTAGCTCGAAGTTTTGCTACACTGGCGATCTGGCGGCAAGAAGACCAAGATAGGTGAGAGGCCCCGCTGGCCCAACTACCAAATAGACATTAGAATTAGTACCTCCATCGTCTCGACCCCATCTGCTTGACCCACTCAGCATCCCTCTTACTCAGCTCGACTGCACTTCTCTTCTTCTTGTCACCGTGTCCTATATTAGCGGCTGTGATGTTTCCACACTCGGGTGTCTTGAGTCGCTGTCCGAATTGATCAACGGCCCAGATCAGCACTCCGTTCGACCAGCCAAAGCCTTCGACCACTTCGTACTCTCCGCCTCCACCAGCAGCATTGGTGCTCGCGTCCGAATACTTTTCGAAGATCGTCCCGTTACCTTGGGAATTGGGCAGCTGGGCGACGTCCGCTGTTGCTCCACCAGTCACACGCCAAGTGCAGTACAGAGAATCGAGATAGCGTTGTGCGAGTTGGAGGGCGAGATCTTGTGTCCAGACGTAGTCTTCGGTCGTTTGCTCGTCGTCTTCCTCACCGACCTCGAGTGGCGTGTTCAACAGACCTTGCATAAGGATATATTGTAGTGGGGGCCAGACGTTTGGCTTGTCCCATTGTTGACCAGTCACAAGATTTGTTGCTGCAATGGCGCCGTCTTGTGTTTCCAAGAGTTCCTCAATCCGGGCGTATACCCGCCGCATGGCCTTTGGATCATTCTTGATGCTGTCTGGTGCAGCGCCAGTCCAGAATGGATAGAACTGGGAGATCTCAAACCATACCTGCAGGCCCTCTGGTGCGCCCTGGAGCGAAAGGGGTGTACTAGTGTTATCCCTGAGCGTATAGATGTTCTTGCTGCTAGATGTAAGGTTGTAATCAAAGTAGCTATAGTGTTCAGGAGACCACAAGAACGTTGTCATGGCCTCGCTACGCTGTGCAGCTCGTTCAGCCCATGCTCGTGCAGCGCTGTAGTTGCCTTGGTGGCGATGGAACTCCGCAATGGTTATCTCGTTGTGGTACAGGATCGAGTTCAACTCTACTGGGATGATCTCCTTGGTGTTGAGGGAGCGAAGTGGGAAATATGTATCGGTAACAGCATCAGAAGGGTTTGCGATCCAGCGAGCAGAATAGTCCCACCCGCTTTCAGCACCTGACGCTAGATTGGAATAGAGCGTAGCTTTCTCAGAGTCGGTAAGTGGGGTCGTAACGTTGAACTTTTCGCCTTCCTTGTTGAAGTAGGTTTCATTGTTGGCAGTCACATAGTCCTCATAGAAGGATTCCGGTCGTGGTTGAGTATTCGATACGGCGTAGTGATTTAGCGAGTAGTTCCTACCGGCGCGTTCAAGCGTTACCGTACGATTAGTGACCCAAAAGTCATACTCTTGCTCGAGGATAGGCAGAGCACGTTCCAGCAACGTGTAGTTTTGCGTGTACTCTACATAAACGCGAACCATTTGGGTGAGAAGTGGTGGCTGTGATCGGTTTTCATAATATCGTCGAGCGCCATTGGGCACAAAGCCGATATCTTCGACAAGATCCAGGAAATTCTCAATGATATTCTCAGCGATTTGAGTGAATGATCCTTGAGTACGGAGAAGGCCTTCAATGATCCAGAACGAATCCCAGTAGTACGGCTCTCGGAAACGCCCACCTGCGACCACGAAGGTGCGGTTCACAGGGATGAATGAGTTAACGCAGCCAGTGCAATTTCCAGCTCCAACATATCGACGTGTCAGATCTGGCCAGATATCTATGACCTGGCGGGTGAAATCAGCTACGGTGGAGCTGTTGACGTTGTCGAGGAAGTCTGGCTGAGTCTCTAGCTGATCCGTGGGTACTTCCTCAAGTTCAGAGCCAGCTTTTCCAAAGTACTTGGACAGAAAATCATTGAGTGCGGTGTCGTTCTTGATAGGCCGAGGAAGATTGGCGAAAGCAGCGAGGACTTCGTCTAATGGGCGTATTGTTGGCCTACGCTTCGTCAGAAGGTATGATAGGCATACGTTCTTGGCAGTACTCACAAGTCAACGAACGTCTTCGAATCCGTAAATGGTCTTGCAAGCTCAATCTCGCGGAGCAAATCACCATAGCAGTATATGGGAGAGTCGCAAGGCGCGATCACACTGCCATTAGTGTACAATGCATTTGCCAGAGGTGCCGCTGCCACAAAAGCTTTAGCCAACAGTCGTAACGAAGCCATTGTTTCGAGGCCAATTTTTCACCGCAACGAAAGCAAAGAGATCCCAAACGAATAATTCACGCGCCTCAGCCCCCTTTTAGCTTTTCGGCCGTGCAAGATAGGCCTGCAAAGAAACCTGCCATTGTAACCGCGAAACCCGGGTAGTTGACCGGTCTGTACACGTACGTGGCTGGGCGGTACAGCCGGAGATGCATCATTTATCCTTGGCAATTTCCCTAAGAAGTACTAAGTTCAACAATCGGACGTCAGCAAGGTTGCGCCGAAAGTGTTGGCCTGCATGGCCAATGTTGAGAAATGGGGGAATGATAGGGGTTTCCCCGCAAAATGGCTTCTGACGGCTGTCGGCAACATCTTAGTATGATGTCATCGCCGTCAGTCCCGACGCTGAACCACGGAACGCTGAGATCGGATCAGGTACCTGGTCGGCGTCTCTTGCATTCTGCAAAAAAAATAAGTTAGAAAGCACTGAAAGTCTTCTGAAAAACACCGTCTACAGCTTTTCGAGACGATATCATATTGGTGCAACGAGTTCAAACGTGACCGCACATCCCGTCGGATGCTGCCTTGACTCGCACCACGGGCACTATTATGTCATAAAAATAAGGTCGGGATCTTGGATGGGAATTCCACTAAGCCGCGGAATATCGGTAGATATCTGCTTTTCCACGCACTGATCTCAGCGTAGTCTGGACGCCACACGACAGAGTAGGCAGCTCACAGCAACCAACCAAGATCGCTATCATGCTACTCTAGTTCGGATTATGCAACGCAAAATCTGGCTAACAAGTCATTTGTCAAGAGAAACTGAATTTGTGGCGTGGAGAAGGCCGTGAGAAAGGGATGACCATATTTTTGGTATAGCTCCGAGGAACCATAAGGGATTGTAAATTATTTACTTACTCCCACGCCTTGTGTCAGCTGACATGGAAATCTTCGCATTTTCACTGCTCACCACCTCAAATTTTACCCAAATGATAAACTTTATGCGAAAACCCTGACGCGTATAGGCCGGTCAACCAACAGCACATCTTCATATCTCGAGGTTCTTGTGGTGCGCATTCGACCAGCTTACTCCCACACAAGCTCAATCTTACCACCCTTGACTTTCGAATTGAACCACTCATAAATCTCCACCTCCTTTTGAACTGCTCTTGCTCCATCCAAGACCCCAGTCTTGGCCAATCTCTCGGTCGCAAACTGTAACTCCATGGTAGCCAAGTTTCTAGCGATACACGCTCGACTTCCCGCACCAAAAGCAAACCAGTATTTTGACATGTCTTCAGTGGTGTTCAACCATCTTTCTGGAATGAACTCTTGGGGCTGGGGAAAGACTTCAGGATTGAAGTGCAGTTCGTATGCCGAACAACCAATGAGTGAGCCAGCGGGGAAGTAGGTTCCCTTGAATGTCCAACCGCCAGCCGGTACGACGTGAGGTAGGCGCGTAGGGTTTGCCATGCTAAGCCGAAGACCTTCTTTGACGACAGCGTTGAGATAAGGAAGTGCCTGAGCGTCCTGCGCATCGGGTCCCAGGGCGGCATTCTTGGTAAACTCCTCCTTTAGTCTTTGATACTTTTCGGGATGCAGCACAAGGCTGCGCATTATCGTAGCTAGATTCATGCCTGTAGAATCTGTCCCAGCGAAGATGAGATCTTTGCACTGCGCTCTGACTTCTGAATCGCTCAGCCCTATTGCCAGCAAACGTCCCGGGTATGTCGTTGATTTCGAGGTCGTATTCCCAACCAGTGTAGCAACAAACTTGTCGACCAGTGACATGCTATCGTCTGTCTCGCGATCAGGCGCCCATTTTTCAACAGCCCATTCTAGCCAAACAAATGCAATGTTTGGAAGGTAAAAGAAGCGGCCTACTGCCACAAACGCATCCACAAATGCGCTGACACTCAAAACCGGCCCTTTTTCGCTAACGCCGTCATAGTTTTCTCGAAATAGGTGGGTAGATACCGCATCGACCGCCAAGCTTCGTGTGAGATTGAGCACATTGACAGGTCTCTTTGTCTTTGCTTCTTCCTTCAGTCGGTCCACCATACAGTTTACACATCCCCATATAGCCTGTTCATTCTCACGCAAAGACTTGGTTGAAAAGAGTGGCAGTACTGCTTTCGCCCTGTGAGCCCTATAATCCTGATTGGTAGTGGAAAAGATAGTTTTGTGGCCATCAATGTCAAAGTTTGCGTAGCATTTTGCTTTCGGGAAACCCCCTTTCGATACGTATATTGCGGGTATGCCATCGGCGTCACTCAGGTCAACCTCATTGGGTGAAACTCGGACGTATGGACCGTATTGTTGGTGAAGCTTGTGAATGACGCTTGCTTCATCACCGATGTAAGCATGATAGTGGAGCCAGAGAGATGTCAACTTGGACAATATGGGCCCGGGAATATGTGCAAGCGGATGAAAGTAGACGCGGTAGATTGAACGAATGAATAGTATAAGAAAAGGAGTCAGAGTGACTGCCAAGGCCACGTGAGCGCCTATGACACCAAATATCAAGTCTTGGAGCGCCATTGAGGTGTAGAACGTAGGAACACTACAACGAGGCTCTTGCGGGGCCTCTTAGCCTTATATAGGCGGTGGTTGGTTGAGTCACTGTGATGGTCAGTGGGGCATACCTATCAGCTGCGATAAGCGGAAATAAGGGCCCTCCCACCATCTCGTACTCCCAACAACTTCTGTTCATCCTTGCAGTTCATTACAATTCAAAATATACTCTACCAGTCTCAGTCAAGTGGTTATCGGAATGACTATTCCGAATTGTCGTGATCCTCACCCAAATATCATGGTACCTTCTGCAGCACTATTAAGGCTAGGTCGAGCAGTCAATGTCACTTTACTTCGACAGCATCCGATTACAATGAATACATATGACCATCTACTCAGTATCTCGATAACCGGGTACATAGATTCAGTAGAGAACTAACCCATTTCTATGATTTCCTACAACAAAGGAACACGGAAATAAGGTGCAATTCCTACCGATCTTACTACTCAGCCCGAAAACCAAAACAGAAATCTCTGGGAAGGAAAACCCCCTGTATCCAAGACCAATTCCAATCCATCAACAGCTCAGATGGCAACTCTACTCACCAAGATGCTATTTCGTCGTCCAACAAGCTTTGTCTTAGCGTTCAACATAAACACCTACATCGCGTTAGCCTCAACACAATCGACCCTTCTCGAACAAAACGTAGAGAAACTTACTGTCGACATTAGGGTTGTAAACGACCTTATACTGGTCGTTCTTGAGATAGCACATGCCACCATCCCAAGCCCCAGCAACCCAAGTCGCAGCAACGCAGCCCTTCAAGATCGAGCACAGATTTGCGCACTCACTAAGAGTCTTGGACTGTGAAATACCAATGTCGCCACCATTGAAGTCGTAGTTACAGCGACTAATATAGGACTGGCCATTGGTCTTGAAGCGGCAGTAGTCGTCGTTAGGACATTTGATCTCGGTCTCGCAGACGGAGCTGCCGGGAGCAGGCTCCAGCTCGGTCGCTGGCTTGGATTGGGTGCCAGCATTGACGTTGTCGGTTCTTCATGGTGATCAGTTGTGGGTATGGCGGTGCTAAGGGTGTACCTACGATATACGGGGCACGCCAAAGTCCTTGCCGAGAAGGTAGCAAAAGTTGTCCTTCATGTTGAAAGCAGTGCAGTGCGTGTGGCGAGCGCATGCATCGGCGCAGTCAACAAAGATGTTGGCCTACATCGCGTGTGGAAACTCGTGAGTATTTTCATTTCTCCTTGCAAATATTTGAGGCTGGATTTACCTGGGCAATGCCAACGATGGGACCACTGAAGTCAATGGCGCAGTTCAGTTTAAAGACACCGCCATTAGTGGCAGTGGAGACACAGCCGTTCCATCGGGGGCAGGTAGGCTGAGCAGGACAGTTCTTGTTCTGTCGGGAATCAAGTACCGCAAGAGCTGCCGTAGCGTTAACCAGTATGCCGTACTGGAATGCATGGTTAGAAGTGCAATTGATTGGAAACTTCTTGTATTTTCGTGTTGATCAAACAGTTTCATGCGATTATACGGGGTCGAATAGATATTGAGGTTCTTACTCACCATCTTGAAGTAGTGCAAGAGAATAGATCAGGAAACTGTGCTGGTGAGGATAGGCTTCGAAGTGAACAAACCAACTACGGGCACAAAGACGCATTATATACACATGAAGGCTGTCTCGCCCCTTGATCATTGTAGTCACCTCAACAGATATGCCAATAAGTCAACTGATTTACTACCATGGATCACAGTGGTCCGGAGCGAGTGAGATGTGTTTGAGCACTCAAGAATGACAACGATCATAACAAGACTTCAGGTTGAGAAACTATGACGCGACAGAATAACGTCTAAATTCCTTGAATCCTTTATATGATTTCAGAACTCCAGCTACCATTAGCAAACAATGTACCTGGTTTTGAGTAATCTAGGGTGTAGCCGCCCCGTATATAGGCCCACCGAAAGTACTCATTCAACCCACTATTCATATCTCTCTTCCATTCAAAGATATCCCAAAGGCCATCACCTTCATTGTCATAGAAGGCACGGGCGCGCTCCACATCGTTTACAAGGACGCTCATACCGTCAACGTCAGGTGGGTGCGTAGTAAAGTTGAACGTCACAAATAGAGCATCATTTTCTACCTCAATGAGTGGTTCCATTATCTGCGGGACCACCGACTCGAATTTTGCATCGGCACGCAGAGCTGCAGAAGTTTGCAACACGGAATCGAAATCCCATCGCGCTATGCCGTTCACAAAAAGACCGAGCAAGAGACCTTGAAAGAACAGCGAAGGCCGCGTCTGGAGACTCGTCCCGGGAAGTAGCAAAAGTGCCAGAATGTAATGGTGGATCCGCAAGTTGACACCTGGAATCATCAGACAGACAATGATTGCCAGGATGAACAGGCCATACAGGCCCAGATAGCGGATCAGGCGGCCTTCGAGCCAGAAACAGTATGCCTGACCCACTACAACTACAACCAATACCAAGACGATGATTGCCAACGCCAGCTTTGCACCAGGCTGCTGCTCGAGATCATGAGCGGTGAGTCGCGAAATCGGAATCCAGTCAAACGTATAATTTGATAATGCGCCAATCCAAAAGCCTCCAAGCCAGAACACAGCCTTTTCGATGTGGGCACTCAACCCAGCTAGCGTCCGCTTGATTGTGGTGGAGTACATTACCACCATTACGAACATGGCTGGCAACAGACGCTTTGCGAACATTGAAATGTGATCTGGCAAGACTGTCGTATTGAGATGCAGTGCCGGCGGCGGGTCGGAGACGAAGCTCACATGAGCGAAAATCAGTGTGAAGATGGGAAAGAAAATTTTCGGCGAAGAGGAAAATATGGCGAGTACAACTGTAGAGAGGATCGTGATGGGGAGCAAGGCTGAGCGGGGATCAGCTGGTGGGCGAAATCCGTCGTCGAACACGACAGAGAAGGAGAGCGGAAAGTACGAGTCGAAGGGAATAGACTCGATACCATGGTGCTTTGTGCCAGCAAAATTGTCATGGCCTCCCATGAGCTTGATACGGCCACCACCGCCTCGGTGGTCATCGACAATCCCCGCGTGGATAGCTGCGGCGCATAGAAAGCTGTCACCGCGATAAAGTCCCGTTCCGACGACCAAAGGACGGTAGTTGACTTGAAGCGGTCCAACGGTATGCGGATTCAGAAGCTGTACATCTCTGCACTTTGCCGGGCATTGGAAAGCAAAGGAATGGTTGCTAAACGGACGACAGTCGATGCCGTCGATTCCGCATTCATTCTTGCGTTCCCACAATGTATCGACGCAACCTAGGCTGATTACATTGTTGCCATCGCCATCCTGCAGCGGCAACTGGGCAGTCAGAAACCAGGTGAAGATAAGAAGCCAGGGGAGTAACACGGCAGCGAGTGAGATGGGCCTGTTGAGTCGCTGGCTTTCAAGCCACTCGACCGGGCCGTTTTGAATCCATGGGAAATACGGGTCGATGCTTTGAATCCGAGGAGGTTGCGGCCCACGCAAAAAGTCCAGAAAGCGTTGTCGACGCGTACGTAGCTTTTTTGATGCTGGAGGAACAGTGTCTTCAAAGTCCATCTCTTCTCTTAGTAAGTGTGCCTCTTCATCTCCATCGACCGCGTGGTCTCTGTCGTCGTCGGCCTCATTGTCAAGTTGGGCCTCGGCATCTTCCTTTTGCAGAGGTTTCCGCATATTGATTTCTAGATATTTTAAACGTTACAGAAAAGAAAAGAACTGTCAACAAGAGGATACACAATGACCATTGTGACGAAGGGCCAAGTATTACAGTGAGATGAGACGCGCAGTGGGTCAGTCAGGAGGTAACTAACTCCTTCAGGCATTCCACCGATAGCAGAAACGCGTTTCTTCTCCATGTTCATCCTGGCTGTTATAATTATCTTGCTATCAAGAATCGAATGTGCCGTGAGTTCCGCATCGCGTGATGCTCGTGGGAGTAGAGATATGCTTTCTATAGCAAGTGTACCACCGCCATCTTGGGTCGCGATCAGTGCTGCATACGGACGAGAAAGATTCGGTGCGATTACGACGGTACTGGAGGCCATTTGAAAATACCCGCCGTATATCGTATAGTCCCATCCCCAGATACGATCAATGAAGCCCTGCTTTACATACAAAAACAACTTCACAGTTCGAAAAGAAACTCTGGGGAAAACTACAATACCCTCCGCACAGACCACATATCCATCCCGCAGCACATCAGCTCGCAAACGACCTAAGGCCACCACCAACGCGTCTCCTTCCCTAAAAACCCCTCTTTCTCACCCCCAGGAAGCCCTCCCCCCTCAATCGCACAAGAAAGAAAGCAAGAAAAAAATGGAAGCAATCCAAGCCTACCTCCCCCAAGCAGAGGGTCTCCTCCCAAAATGGCTCCTCTTCGTACGTCCCTCTCCTGAACCCCCCCTCAGCCCTGCACATAGTACAACCACGCTTTCAAGTCCAAAAATCTCACACGCAAAAAAAAGAAAGGTAAACACTAACACTGACACCCTAAAAAAAATAGGTCTCGGTAATATCCGTCGGAAACAGCATCCAAGCCTACAGCACCCTGGCCTTCACCTCGCGCATCTACAACCCCACGCCCATTGATCCTCCCCCCGTAATCCCCAAGCACGTCACGGCACTGTCGTCGCGCACGTTTGGCACATGGACGCTGCTTGCGTCGCTGATACGCTTGTACGCGGCGTACAATATCAATGACGCGGCCATGTATCAGCTGGCCATGTGGAGTTATGCGGTGGCGTGGGCACACTTTATGAGCGAGTGGGTGGTGTTTGGGACGACGAGGTGGGGGAAGCCGTTAGTTGGGCCCGTCGTGGTTGCCAATACGAGTTTGATTTGGATGTTTACGCAGTGGGGGTTTTATGTCAAGGCTTAGACAGGAGGGGGGGGGGGCGGGGGTTTAAGGGATTGGTATTAATATCATCATAATGGCTGATGGGATGGTTGAGTTGCTTCTGTTACCTATGTTGTAAGATTGTTCGTAGCAAAAGCAATTCCTTCACTTGAAATAGTGCAGTCACCTTTTCCATTGACTGCCAGAAGCACAGCGAGACCACGACACATAGCAAAAAAGCCTCCAACCCATCACGCACAATCTGTAGCCTCATTGTGGACTTTTGACCCGCCTCGGTGGCTTGTTTGACCACTCGAGGACTTTCATTGATCGTAGCTGAAGAAACATACATGGCCCATTGGACTCCAGATTCCTCAACCCTGATGCCGAGTTTTGACGACCATATCGAAAACCATTCACGCTCCGCCTCAGCCACATTTCTTTCCTTTGCTGATCATGAACCGTTACACCATCCTTTTTCTAAAATGCATCTAGAACTTGTTGAACTGCTTAGCAGCCTTTCCCTTTCGGGGGAGGACACGGAGGACGTTGAAGCGGACGGTCTTGGAGAGGGGCCTGCACTGGCCAACGACGACCTGGTCACCAGGCTCGACACGGAAAGCGGGCGAGACGTGAGCGGCGAGGTTCTTGTGGCGCTTCTCGTAACGGGAGTACTTGGGGATGAAGTGGAGGTATTCACGGCGGATGATCAAGGTGCCTGAAGTTCGTTAGTATCAAAATGCTCCCAAATCCCTGTAATTTCGCCTTGTCGAGCTCTTCTTTTTTTCTAAATCGCATCTCCAGGGCTTGAGAAGGAGTTGACGTACGGTGCATCTTGGTGGACATGACGGTACCGGTGAGGATACGGCCACGGATGGAGACCATGCCGGTGAAAGGGCACTTCTTGTCGATGTAGGTACCCTCAATGGCAGTCTTGGGCGTACGGAAGCCCAGACCAACGTCCTTGTACCATCTCCTGGAGCGGGTGTTCTTGCGCGGTCCGCCGACCTTGTGGTTAAGGAAGATGTGAGGCTATCGCATCGCGTTAGTATCGAGCATGTGGTCGAATCGCGCAGTGGACGTCTAGTACCTGCTTCTGGAAAGCGCGCTCCGACTGGACACTGTTTTTCGCAGTCAGCAATTGTCGATGTCACTCGTTTTATCGCAGCACGTACGTGAGTTCGGTGGCCATGGTTGCGGATCGGGTGGTTTGTCGTGCTTTCGTTGTCGGTCGTTCATAATTTCCACTATGGACTCGCTTAGGAAGTGTCCATGGGCGACAAGTTTTTCCGGCCCCGGTGGCTAGTGCTGCGCTAGTTCGTCCACCAACCTCGGCAGGGCTTAGGGCCAAGAGGGACTGGTAGGACCAACAGAGGGGAACTTTGTTATTGTTAATACTGAGCATTGTCCCGTCGCTTGTCCGTAGCACTCTCTGTTTTTGCTACGATTCGGTGCCATCATGGGAGCCCTCACCGAGACCTTTGGTGTGCATATTGATGCCAGCAACTCGTTCGTGCAAGCAGCCGTTTATGGCTTCTTGCTCGTAGGCATTGCATCTTTTGCAGCACCCGTCATCAGCACTGTCCGAGTCCTCCTCAGCTTGTTTGTGCTGCCAGGCAAGTCGGTATGCAATTTCCCACTTCATCTCAGCGAGCACTGAGCAATTCTGACCCCGCCACCAGCTCAGTACCTTCGGACCCCGCGGTACCTGGGCCCTCATCACTGGTGCCTCGGACGGCATTGGCAAGGAATTCGCCCTGTCCCTCGCAGCCAAAGGCTACAACCTCATCCTCGTCTCGCGCACGCAATCGAAGCTGGACTCCCTCTCCGCCGAAATCACCTCGAAATATGGCCCCAAGATCGCCGTCAAGACGCTGGCCATGGACTTTGCCCAGAACAAGGATGCCGATTACAACAACATGAAGAAGCTGATTGAAGGCCTCGATGTCAGCATTCTGATCAACAACGTCGGACTGAGCCACAGCATTCCTGTGCCATTTATCGAGACACCCAAGCAAGAAATGACGGACATCATCATGATCAACTGCATGGCTACACTACGCGTGACACAGCTCGTCACTCCCGGCATGGTCTCTCGCAAGCGCGGTCTGGTCCTAACCATGGCTTCCTTCGGAGGCTTCTTCCCCACCCCGCTCCTCGCAACCTACTCTGGCAGCAAAGCATTCCTCCAGCAATGGTCCACGGCCCTCGCATCCGAGCTAGAACCCCACGGCGTCTACGTGCAATGTGTCCAGTCTCACCTGGTGACCACGGCCATGTCCAAGATCCGCAAGACATCTGCCCTCGTGCCGAACCCAAAGCAATTTGTCAGTGCTACGCTGAGCAAGGTTGGCAGGAGTGGAGGCGCGCAGGGTGTGGCGTTTACAAGCACGCCTTACTGGAGCCATGGTCTCATGCACTGGTTCCTCTCACGCTTCCTGGGTGAGCGCTCGCACACGGTTGTCAAGGTCAACCGAGGCATGCACGAGAGTATCCGAAAGCGTGCGCTCAGGAAGGCTGAGCGTGAAGCAAAGAAGCAGTAAAGCTTGCGTGTCTATGGCGCATGATCTACTTTTTCTTGGGACTCTGTGACTATGATGAAGTTGTTTATAGGCAACATCGATCATTCGTCAAGTTAGCATCCCAGTGGCGTATTCATCAGTGTTAAAGTAATACACATAGTGTTGTGATAATATATTTTTGTGATTCAAATTACGCCGCCACCCCCACGCGCGTTAAAAGTTATACTAAAAGGGATATAATTACATCGATTTGAGCGTTCATGGTCAAAGAGTAGAGTCCCATCGTGAAACATTACAAGACAAAGCAATCCAGTCCCCCCCCACCTCCTTTACTTAATTCCTCACTCACTCACCCACCCATTCTCGACCGGGTATCACAAGACTCTAAGACGACTTGCCGTAAGCCTGGTCAACCTCCTTCTTGTAGTGTTCCAAGATGCCCTTGCGGTTGAGCTTCTGGGCAGCGGTAGTCAGGCCCTAGAAGAATGTTAGCGATTTTGTTTTCCACGTTCACGGTATCCATGTAGACTTACGTTTTGTGGTGTCCATTCCTCGTCAGCCAGAACAACGCCTTCAATCATCTCAAAGCTGGCAAGGCCACCCTTTTGGCCCGCCTCTTGCAGCTGCTTCAGCACAGCAGAGTTGATCTTCTTGTCGTGGACAAGCTCCTCAAGGTGGTCACCAGTGACACCGACTTGAGCGGCAATCTTCTTGAGCTGTGGCTCAGTGGGCACAATGATGGCAATGGGCTTCTGGCGGTCCTGAGCAGCGTAGACGCAGATGTTTGCGACAATGGGCGCAGATCGGTAGACAGACTCGAGCTTCTCGAGCGCAATGTACTCTCCAGCAAGCGTCTTGACAAGGTTCTTCTTGCGGTCGATGATGCGGATTTCTCCGTTGGCGTTGAACTCGCCTACATCGCCAGTCTTGAACCAGCCATCTTCGGTGAAGGATTCCTTGGTCTCTTCGGGCATGTCCAGGTAGCCTTCAACGACACCGCCACCACGAATCCAGATTTCACCCTGAGGAGGGTTGTTGGTGGAGAAGTATCCAGCATCGGCAAAATCAACCAGCTTCATCTCGATCGATCCGGGCATCTCACCAAGAGCTTTCTCGTTCCAGGCCAGAGGATCCATGAGCGCACCCATGGCGCAAGTCTCGGTCAAACCGTAGCCGCTGATCATGGGTGTAATAGCAATGGAGATGAAGCGCTGGGTTTCCTTTGCAATGGGACCACCACCGTTCATGCAGATTCGGAGTCTGCCACCCGTGGCCTCCTTGACCTTGTTAAAGACAATGGCGTCGAGAATACCACTGCCGGGAAGGCCAGAGCTCAAGAGGAAACCCTTGGCTGCGAAGGCACCCCAGAACATGTTGCTCTTAAGCGCGCCTCCTGCCTCAACCTTGTTGATGATGCCCTTCTTGATGGTTTCCCATACCTGGGGAACACCGACCATGACGGTGGGCTTGAGCTCACGGATGTCACCAGCACAGTTTCGCACCGATTGATCGGAGAGTGTGCGGATGGTACCGTAGCCCATGGTACCTCCCCAGTAGAGTACAGCGTTTTCGAACACGAACTCGAGAATGTGTGCGGCTGGGAGGTAGGTGATGAGCACATCACCAGGTCCAAGGTACTTTCCTACAATGACATCGACACCAGCGACTGGGCACATGGTTAGCATTGGACGCGTTGTGATTGCAGATCTGAGAGTACTTACCAGCAGCAACGACATTGCGGTGCTTGATCATAACACCCTTGGGGGTTCCAGTGGATCCAGAAGTATACATGATACAGGCCAGGTCGTCTGCCTTTGGTGGAATTGGCTCTGCGGGATTCTCCTCGCCCAGCTTGATCAGGTCGTCAAAGCTGATGACTTTCAGGTGGGGATGTGCCTGGGTGAGGGTATCAATATCCTTTTGCTTGGGGTCGTTCTTTGTGCAGTAAACAACTACTTGGACGTCCTTGGCCTCGTTCATGGGTTTCACGAGACGGGGCAGCAGCTCTGGGTCGGTAAACATGACCTTTGCTTTGGTCTGAAGCATAGAGTGCTTGAGGCCCTCCTCTCCGAGCGTGTCGTAGGCAGTAACAATGGCCATTGACTGGGAAAGCGCACCTGCACAAGTGATTAGGGCCGTGTCAGTGCATGCGTGTTGCGCGTTTGCTTACCATGGGCAGAAGCCAGCCATTGCATGCTGGTGGCGGCGAAGAGGTGCAGCCTGTCTTGTGGCTCGAAGCCCAGTGACTTGAGGCCCGAACCTACTGAGAGAGCCATTTGCTCAAACTCGATAAAACTCTTGTACTTGTAGGGGCTAAGCTCAAAGTATTGCCACTTCTTGTCGACTTCCTGCTCCTTGCCGTCGACCATCTTCTTGATCTTCTTCGTCTCCTCGTGTACGTTGACGATGCGGCGCGCACCGACGGCCTTTGCATTTCCAAACTTGGCAGCCGAGTGTCGCAGGATGTCGTAGAGGGTCGAGACGTCTTCGTGGGGCTTCAGGATGAGGCCATCTTTGGCCGCGTTGTTGCGGCGCGGTACCGTCTCGCCGTCTACCTTTTGGGCATTGGGGGCTTCACAGGTGTAGGGGCCGGTCCTGTATGTCTTTGCCTGGGGCATCAACTTCTTGAGGTCCTGTGGCATGATGGCGGTGTCTGCGTATGGAGAGCGCAGTGCGTGGGAAAGGGCAGTATGGGTATCAAGCAGGAGGGAAAGGGGGATGGCAGAGAGGGCTATTATAGAAAATAGCACGAGGGAGTATCGTCGCCAGCGGAGAATGGCGGATGACAGAGTGATACAGAGCTGGGGGGGTTGCTGTTGGGGAGCTTATGCGCTTGTCGTGCTCATGTCGCTAAAGCGATGTGCTGCACGGCCGAGCTTCTAGGCAATGACCTCACAGCCACAGCACGAGCTGGGCGACTCAGGTGCAGCTGCACTTGCACTTGCTGGCGGCCGCCGGGCACGAGCCGGGTGCTCCACTCTTTTTTTTCCTGCAGCGTCAATGCCATATCTGATCTACGAGGCTGCACGCACACAGACACGGACACACAGATACAGACATGTCAAGCACAGGCACATCGAGGCGGCCACCTGTCCTCTTTGGACACGCTGCTTTGGTTACTTACTTGCTGCTAACACGCCCAGTACCAGGCATGTCGGCAGAGAGCCGAGGCTGAGCCGTGGGCCAAGCAGGCAAAGTCGCGTCCCAAGACCAGCATCCTCCTTTCATAGCACTTGTGCATTGTTGTTCCTCTCAGAGGCACTGGTTAGCCAAAACCTTACTACCGCCGCCCACCCTGCAACCTGCAACCTGCAATCTGCAACCTGCAATCTGCAACCTGCATCCAGCGGGCCAGGCATCCCAATCCCCCGTCACCTGCGCCGTCTCCACCGCAATGGATCTGACGGCTCTGCTGGGATCGCATCCTATCGCGGACCCTGAAGAAGGTGTGTAACAAGTCTCTGGGACCACGCCCTCGAATCACAGCCTCAAGGTCATCCTCGGCTCGACGTATTTCTCGCCTTCCTGCCATTCGCTCCTCCACCACGGCCACGTACAAAGTGTCAGAAAGGCCAAAACCCCGTCATCATCGATACACCATGGCGCATCACGCTCACCCCGTTGTGCAGAGGCATTCGTCGTCTTCTCGCAAGACATTCCTTCTCAGTCGCTCGGCTTCTTCGACTCCAAGGCGCCCACGCTCGACTTCACCGTGGCGGGCCACCAGCTGGTCATCCACCACTCCAAGAGCCTCCTGACCTCTGATCGCAAGACAGGAACTACCGGTGCAGGTATGTGTGCGTGTCGTGACTGTCGTGATTGCGCTTGTCTTAGCTACCCGCGTGGAAGTTGCCGTTGCCGTGGCCATTTGCTGCGTCGTGCTTTTTCCCCCAGACTATGTCCCCTTCAGCTTGTCCTTGGCTTTGCTTGGGAGCTGTCTCTCCACACTCCCGTGTCATGTCCATATTGGGCCACAACCAGAGCCCGCTTGTGTCTAGTGCAAAGCATATGCTCCTCGTCCTGTGTGCCCTGCGCCTGTTGTCATTGCAAACCACATGAGAGCATTCTTGCAATTGCACTCGACCTTGCGTTGCCGAGTGTGAGCAGTCGCCGCGTCGACGTCATTATTTACCCAATCCAACACCAGGCATGCCTGCAACACCTGCATCTCAATCTGCATCATTCACTAACACCTGTCAATCGCAGCAATCTGGCGAGTCACTCCCCTCTTCGCCAATTGGATCGCCTCCCCCACCAACTTCCTTGCCACCAGCGCTCTCCTGTCTCCTTCCGCTACTGTCCTTGAGCTCGGTGCCGGCGTCTCTGGCATTGTCGCCCTGACTCTCGGCCCAAGAGTCGGCAAATACATAGCCACGGACCAGCCATACGTGTTGAAACTCTTGCGCCAAAACATTGCTGAGAACCTGCACACCGTCTTCTCACAACACCACAAAGGCAAGAATGCAAAAGGTAGCGGCAAACGAAATGCCAAGGCCGACAATGCCTTAGCAGCAGCAGGTGCACAAGACCGCATCACCACCATGGAGTTAGACTGGGAGACTGATTCCGTGTCGCATCTTCCTCCCGTAAACCTCATCATATCCTGCGATTGCGTCTACAACGAAGCCCTCATCGAACCATTGAATTCTACCTGCGCCGCCATATGCAAGTTACAAGAGGATGAAAGCAAGCCTACAATATGCTTAATAGCACAGCAATTGCGCAGCCCAGATGTATTCGAAACTTGGCTGAAAAGCTTCCACGAAAAGTTCTGGGCGTGGCAGGTTCCCGATAAAATGCTGGGTGAGGGACTGTGCGAGGGAAGTGGATTCGTCGTCTATCTAGGCGTCGTGAGGTGAGTATGGCAAAACACAAAGGTCCAGCTACTCAGCGACGAAATGCACAAACCAAACCACGTGGTTCTCGATAGTTACTAGAGAGTAGCACTGTCTTTAGAGGTGAAGCTAGAGGTTGATCTCGTATGCCATTCAAGGAGCACATATCGAAGTGAAGAGACGACGAGGAAGCATGTACAGTAAAAGGGGAAACTCATAAATCAGCTACGAAGGACCAAAACAATGCATAAAAAAGGAGAGGCTGGCAGATAAAACCCTCTGACGTTGGTATATTTCATGCTTGCTTCGGCTATGGGATCAGGGCGCCGATAACCGGCCATCATCAAGGCAATGCCGTCCCCACGTTCCCCAGCGAACTGTAGCCTCCCCCAGTTTCTGAACGCGCAAAGTACCGCTCCGTCGGTATGCGGCGAAAGACCACAAGCTGAAAAAGTTCGGTATCAGATGCAGCTGCTGCATGCGTCTTTGCACAGTGTGGGATGCATTTCCGGCAATGTCTCGTCTGCTCTCTATCATCGGAGTGGACCGCCCCGCCAAGTAGCCTCAACCAGCCACAGCCAATCACGCTCTCGCTGGCTATCAGTACAGGCGATCGTTTTAGCACATACGCGGGTGTCGCCCCTCTGCCACTGCGAAATGCGTGCCCTAGCGAGCCTTTTGCCGTGGAAAAAAGTACGTATTCCCGGCGGTTGACGACAATTGTCGGCCAGCTCCAATCTCTGGCGGGCCGCGAGTGGGCCATGGACCAGGGCCTAGGAACTGTCCATGAACAATTGTGTATCGTGGGTATTTTGGCGGCAGAGATACGAATGCATGCTCCACATGTTCTATATAGATGGGTATGAGGACTCGTTTTTGGTTTGAGCAAGTCATTACACACAGCGAACCAGCTCGACTAGCATTCCCGCTTGGACGGGTTTTTGCCATCTCCACGCCACTTCCCCGCGTACTCAATTCTGATTGCAGCATCAAAGCTCATATCCATATCAGTCGTGTCGGTAGCGAATCGCAACTTCTTGTGACATAGATCTGGAGCGATCGAATCTTGGAACAAGCACTGCGACTGGCTGTACATCTGCGTATCATCAGCCTTGACCTGCAACCTCGCCAATCTCATCACGTCTATTGCGACTATAAGCATCCTTATCGGACCCCTCAGGCCAGAGAGTTTTTTTTCAGACTGCAAAAAAACTGTACAAGAATAAAGCGGCTCCCGCTTCCACTGTACCGGCCGAACGGTAGTTTGGACCTTTGAAAAGTAAATATGGCAGACATGATTGGGCCTGACCACACCCCACGGCGCAGCTGGAAAGACAAGGCGAGGCGTATGAGGAAGGCATTCACTACAAAGTAAATTATACTCTTTTACCATTTCAAGCCGTTTCACAGTCTAACCGCATACAGGGAGGGTCTCGTTGGCACATACGACTATGCCTTTCTCTTCCGACCAAACCTGCCATTCATGAGGCGAGAACGCAGGGCAGCACCATTCTTCGGCCTCAATGACCGTGTGCCCGTTATCCTGGCTCTCCTTCTTGGATTCCAACACTCGCTTGCCATGTTGGCAGGTGTCATCACGCCTCCCATTATCCTCTCCAATGCTGCCAACTTGAGCGGCGATGAACAACGCTACCTGGTATCCACATCACTCATCATCTGCGGTATTCTGTCTTCTGTACAAATCACACGCTTCCATATCTGGAAAACACCGTATTACATTGGCACCGGCTTGATTTCTGTCGTGGGAACCTCGTTTGCTACCATTCCTGTGGCGACAGGTGCGCTGAGCCAAATGTACGAGACGGGCTTCTGTCCTGTGGCTGCCGACGGTACAAGGCTGCCCTGCCCAGATGGTTACGGAGCTATCCTAGGCACGTGTGCACTATGCGCTTTGCTCGAAATCGGCATGTCGTTTACGAGTCCACGCATCCTCAAGAAGGTGTTCCCACCTCTAGTCACTGGACCTACTGTTCTCCTCATCGGAGTCAAGCTCGTAACTACTGGATTCCAGAACTGGGCTGGAGGCTCTGGTGACTGTAAAAGTCGCCCTGAATCTGGTCTGTTCCAGCTCTGCCCCAACATCAATGCTCCACATGCCTTGCCCTGGGGCAGCGCTGAGTTCATCGGCCTTGGGTTCAGCGTTTTCATTACCATCATTCTCTGCGAGCGCTTCGGAGCCCCGATTATGAAGTCTACGGCTGTGGTTATCGGACTTCTCGTCGGCTGCATCATTGCAGGTGCCACGGGTTACTTTGACAAGTCGTCGATTGACTCTGCCCCCGTCGTGTCCTTCATCTGGGTTCAGACATTCAAGCTGACCGTCTACCCACCCATCATCTTACCTCTGCTAGCCGTCTACATGGTCTGTGCCATGGAAGCCATTGGCGACATCACAGCCACCTGCGATGTATCGCGCGTCGAAGTCGACGGCCCACTCTTCGACTCACGCATCCAAGGCGGCGTGCTCGCCGACGGCATCGCCGGCATGATCGCCGCGCTCTGCACCATCACGCCCATGTCGACGTTTGCACAAAACTGCGGCGTCGTAGCCCTAACACGCTGTGCGAACCGCAAGGCGGGCTACGCATGCTGCTTCTGGCTCATCGTCATGGGCATCTTTGCAAAGTTCGCCGCGGCTCTCGTGGCCATTCCCTCGGCTGTCCTGGGCGGCATGACGACCTTCCTCTTCAGTGCCGTCACCGTATCCGGCATCCGCATCATCAGCACCATGCCCTTCACCCGCAGGAACCGGTTTATCCTCACTGCGGGCTTCACGCTTGGCTTCGGCGCCACAATGGTCCCGAATTGGTTCTCGTTCGTATTCACCTATAGTGGACCCAATACCGCGCTCAAGGGCTTCTACAATGCTATTGAGCTGGTGCTTGAAACGGGATTCGCCGTCGTGGCGCTCGTCACGGTTGTGCTGAATCTGGTGCTGCCCGAGGAGATTGAGGATGAAGAGACGCCCGAGATTGTGGCGGATGGGGAGGAGAAGGCGGGTGAGAGCGGCGAGTGGGATCAGAGTCGCAAGGGTGCTACCGGTGCGGATGTGGATGTTGAGGGACGAGCGAGTTCGGATATTGTGGCTACCAAGGCGGCATGAAGGGTGGTGATGTTTGTGAATCGGTTTCTTGGGAATACAAAAAAAACAAAAGGTTTAAGAGGGAAATGCGATTATAATCTCTTACGGAGTTTCAAAAATAAAATGGCTCTTTCATTCGCTCTGTTGGGTTACCGGATAGCCGGCTGTTCAACTATCCCGTTCAATCTCCTTACGAAGTACAACATCCCCTTACCAAGCATCAGTCCGTGCACTAATCGCCATTCGAGGCTTCTAGTATCGTCGACTACGACGCCACCATATCTACTACTACCATTCAAGCTCCATACAAAAAATATGGAGAATGCGCCCACACGTCTGCACGCACGTACACATAGTTTTTGTGTGGAGACAGTCAATTTATTTTTCCGCGCAGCTACTAGCAGCACCACCGTTGACAAGCAAAACGTTGTTTGCATGATTATGTAAAAGTGGTAGTTCTTCAGCCTTACCCGCCACCAACAAAAAGTTATGTATGTGTGATGTGAGCATGAGACGACAACGACGACATCACGTCGACAACTTTTTTGGGGGGTCTTGACACCCACTCACACACACACACACACACACACCCTAAATCCAGCCAGGGTGGTCTTTCCAGCAAAGACAAAAAAAGGCTGGAACCGAGGGAGGGAGGGAATAACGGGATGCGATAACTATTGGTGATGCAACAGGCGGCAAGGTGTTGAGGCCGCGCCAGTTCCCGATTCGGTAGAGCTTGCGAGAGGGGGACTGGTGACTTTTTTTCTTGAACAACGCACACACCCGCCCTGCTTCTAATCTGGTGCGGACGATTTCGCTGTAATGTATTTTTTGGAGGGGGACTCTTTACATACGCGCAGTGTTTCAGACTGGGGGGATTGGGCCGGGGCAAACGTGGTTAAGATGGGTTGTGAGGGTTGGTGTTGGTTCAATCAAGTGCTGTGTAAAAAGAGTCATGGGTAATGGGGCTGGGGAGGGGGGCCGCTGTTATTTTTGATGGACAGCCGAACACGACCTCTTTTTTTGGGGGGGGGGACACATCTTTTTTTTTTTGCCACACACTGTCCGAGAGTAATGTTGTGAACTCGGCCATATCACTATCGAGACAATTCTTTCAAGTTTGAAAGCTGAAAAGAAGGTACATAATGGCATACGTAAGTGTGCAGAACCGGATGTCCGGATGCCTTAGCGATATCAACAAAAAAGTGTTTCAAGGGAAGGATTCCTGGTGGTGGAAAGGTTGGCCGGATTGCAGGTGCGAACCAGATTGTATAGAATACTCTAGCATTTTTTTTACCAGCTAGGCGGGGATTATGGAGAAGCAAAGACTACGGCTAGCCGATTAGCGATGACGGCGAGTTTTGGAGTGGCATCACCACGGCGTGAGCTTCTATGCCCAGTGAGGCAATCCGCTTGTAAGGACACACACATTCATAGTACACAGTGCCGATGGTTCTGAATCAGACCGCTTTTTGGAGGGATAATCAATTTAGGCGTTCTTTTTCTTTCCTTCTTCCTCTCGTTCTCCTTTCCTTCCCCCAGTCAACGGGCAGCCATGTTCTCTTGCCTGCCTAGTCAAGGGAGCAGGCCGAGCGCGATGCGGGAATCTGGGGAAAAAAGGGCATGAGGTGTGCATGCCCTGGGGGCCCAGCTGCAACAGGTTGGAATGCCCGCGCGCACCGCCACCCAGGCCGTTCTCGATGCCGAGATCAGCGCGAGGCCTGCGCGGAGTCCCGAAATTTCTTCGCCCCGGGACCCTGCCGCCGTGGTGAGAGACGGCACTAACCCGATTCGGGTCATAAATTACGTTACGGCCAAAAAAGGGCCCTTTTGGCGGCGGCGATGCAGGCGCACTTGACAATGCAGGTCCCAGTCTTTCGCTTACCTGCCCGCAGAGTGTTGGGATGGACAAACTGCCTGCCGCCTTATATTAATGTCGTCCTGCCCGCCGCCACTTTTGCTCTCCCCCCTCCATCCCAACTTTTTGTTGCTCCTCCCCTCCGACTACCTTCTGCCTCGTCGTTGACTCGACCGTGGGTGAAGCTTTCCGTCGTTGCTCGAGCTTTCTTGCTCACCCCCGGAGCCCGGACTATCTTTTTTTGAGCCGCTAGTCGTCTCTCCTCCCCCCCATCACTTCATTCGCTTTCCCTACACACCACCTTACCGCTACATCCTTCAACATGCCCTCTCACCAGCCTACTGCTGGCATGATGGCTGTCGACCCCGACTACGTCAAGCAGCCCTCCTCAATGGCAAGCACCTCGGAGCCCAACCGCAACCCCAAGTACGACCCCAAGAAGCCACACATCACCGATACCCCCATTACAAAGTCCAACTGGTACAAGCACGTCAACTGGCTCAACGTAAGTCTCGAGTTCCCTCTCCGCAGCACACGGCATTTGCTAACGTAGCGTTTTCAGGTTACCTTCATTATCGGAATCCCCCTCGCCGGTTGCATCGCTGCCTTCTGGACACCGCTCAAGTGGCAGACTGCCCTCTGGGCCGTCATCTACTACTTCTGGACCGGTCTCGGTATCACGGCTGGCTACCATCGTCTCTGGGCACACAAGTCATACAATGCCAGTCTTCCTCTGAGCGTCTTCCTCGCTCTCGTTGGCGGCGGTGCTGTCGAGGGCTCCATCCGCTGGTGGAGCCGTGACCACCGTGCCCACCACCGCTACACCGACACCAACAAGGACCCCTACAGCGTCCGCAAGGGACTTCTCTACAGTCACCTTGGCTGGATGGTCATGAAGCAGAACCCCAAGCGCATTGGCCGTACCGACATCACCGACTTGAACGAGGACCCTGTCGTTGTCTGGCAGCACAAGAATTACATCAAGGTTGTCATCTTCATGGGTCTCATCTTCCCCTCTGCTGTCGCTGGTCTCCTCTGGAACGACTGGAAGGGTGGCTTCATCTACGCTGGTATCCTCCGCATCTTCTTCGTCCAGCAGGCCACCTTCTGCGTCAACTCACTCGCCCACTGGCTCGGTGACCAGCCCTTTGACGACCGCAACAGCCCCAGGGACCACGTCATCACTGCTCTCGTCACTCTCGGTGAGGGATACCACAACTTCCACCACGAGTTCCCCTCCGACTACCGCAACGCTATCGAGTGGCACCAGTATGATCCCACCAAGTGGTCCATCTGGCTGTGGAGCAAGCTCGGTCTCGCCTCCAACCTCAAGCAGTTCCGTGCCAACGAGATCGAGAAGGGCCGTGTCCAGCAACTCCAGAAGAAGATTGACCAGAAGCGTGCCAAGCTCGACTGGGGTGTTCCTCTTGAGCAGCTTCCTGTCATCGAATGGGACGACTACGTTGAGCAGGCCAAGAACGGCCGTGGTCTGATCGCTGTCGCTGGTGTTGTTCACGACGTTACCGACTTCATCAACGAGCACCCCGGTGGCAAGACCTTGATCAAGAGCGGCATTGGCAAGGACGCTACTGCCATGTTCAACGGTGGTGTCTACTTCCATTCCAACGCTGCCCACAACCTACTCTCTACCATGAGGGTCGGTGTCATCCGTGGTGGATGCGAGGTTGAGATCTGGAAGCGTGCCCAGAAGGAGAACAAGGAGGTCAACATCGTCAAGGACGAGCAAGGCAATCCAATCATCCGCGCTGGCAACCAAGTCACCAAGGTTGCTCAGCCTATGCTCAGCGCCAGCGCGGCATAGAATGTTTCCTTTATTCGATTTTAGCGATACTCGGCGTTTGGGGGGATGCCTTTCCACCTTTGAAGAAGTGGCATAATAAGTTTGTCTTTTCCTTTCATTCCTTTCGCTATAGAGTATCAGGGCATGATGCTCAAGTACCATTAGACTGTGTATGTTTATAGCCTTTGATAAGCAGTTTGCTTGGAAAAGTGAGCTTTACCGTCTATATACTAAGATGTGATGTCATCATTGACTTCACCCTTTGGATTTATGTGCGATTTTGTATTGTGACTGCTGTTGTGACGCTTCCTTCCTTCCTACTTGCCCCAACACTTGTATCTGTAAGAAGGGGGTGACTGCCTATTCCCCACCAAGCGGCCCGTGCCTGACTCTTACTTTAACCTTTCCCTTTTTACACCGAACTTCCAACCCGTTTTCCCATCCTTGTTCTAAATTACTAAGAAAAAAGTGGTCTTGCTAATAACTCACTGCCGCCTCGGTAGCTAGTAGCTGGACATATTATCGCGATGCAACAAGATCCCGAAGATGCTCCGCCGAGTAAGCGCCGAAGAATCGGTGTTGACTCGCCCAAAGAGGAAGTGCTTGAGAACCAGCCTTGTTCTTCGACAAAATCACGCAAGGGTCTCGATAGGCCGATTAGTCCCCCGACGTTATCGAAGCGGATAGGGCGGGAAGAGGGTGCTGCTTTTACGCCAAGCTGGAGTTTTGATGGTGTGGTGAAAGAGGAGGGGGCGTTGGGGACAGCGGAGCCATCTACTACATCAAACAGCAAGGAAACCGTAAAGGAGAAAGATACTAATGCAGAGACACGGTTCATCCCTTCGCCAGTACAGCTCACCCGGATTGAGAGGCTGCCCATGGAGAAGAATGTCGATACGGTGGGCTTGGCTGATTTGCTGGGAGATCCCTTGATCAAAGAGTGCTGGAACTTTAATTATTTGTTTGACCTGGATTTCGTCATGTGAGTATTTTCTGGGTGGCGTATCTGAGATTGGACATGTAGGTGGTAGTGTACTAACGTGAATTTAGGCAACACTTTGATAGGGACGTTAGGGATATGGTCAAAGTCAAGATTGTGCATGGCTTCTGGAGGAATAATGACAAGAGCAGGATTGCATTACTGGTAAGTGAGATACTTTCTGAGAGTTTGATGCTTATTTCAATCGTCCTTTGTCGGATATCGATTACCTGAATACTGAGACTTCATAGGAAACAGCAGAACGATATCCCAACATTAACCTTATAGGTGCATATCTCTCAGACCAGTTTGGTACTCACCATTCGAAAATGCTCATTCTCTTCCGACACGATGATACTGCTCAGATCGTTATCCATACAGCCAACATGATTCACCGCGACTGGGCGAATATGACACAAGCAGTCTGGGTGTCACCGTTGCTTCCATTCTTGCCGCACACAGAATGGGAGGAGCAATCAAAGTCCACAAAGATCCACGCTATCGGGAGCGGCGAACGATTCAAAATTGATCTTATTCATTACTTGCATGCTTATGGACTGCGTATGAAGGCCCTAATTCTCCAGCTTAAATACTACGACTTCTCGAGTATTCGGGCAGCGTTCGTTGGAAGCGCGCCATCAAAAGAGAAATCATCTGCGGCCAGTCCTTCGAATACTGCTTTTGGCTGGTTAGGGCTAGACCAGACACTTTCTAGTATTCCAGTCAAGGCGTCAGAAGACAGTTCCCGTCCTCACATTGTCACTCAAATCTCGTCAGTGGCGACATTAGGTGCGACACCAACATGGCTTTCCCACTTCCAGTCTATCCTTTCGCGCTGTTCATATGTTAAAGATACAAGAAAAGAAGAAGCATCATCGTCATCCACAAAATCGCCTACATTATTCACCAAGCACAAGACTGATGCGGCAAAAGCACCAGAACCCAAGTTCAGCGTCGTATTCCCAACTCCAGCCGAGATCCGCAGGTCCCTAGATGGCTACACGTCTGGTGGGTCCATCCACTGGAAATATCACTCTGCCCAGCAGCAAAAACAGCTCGAATACATGCACCCACTACTCTGTCACTGGACCCCCATATCCCGCCCCGACCCATCTCAACGAGAAGCACACCGTGGCACAGCAGCACCACACATTAAGACGTACATTCGCTTCAGCGACGAAACCCACACGACCATGGACTGGGCTTTGCTCACAAGCGCCAACCTAAGCAAGCAAGCATGGGGTGATGTGGTGAACAAAAACGAAGAAATCAGGATTCAGTCATATGAAACAGGTGTAGTGGTATGGCCTGCTCTATTTGCAGAATCTGGGCATTCATCGACTATGGTTCCGGTGTTCGGGACTGATAACCCAGAGGCAGGCAAACATGGCGAGGAAAAGAGAGGGACAGTGGTTGGATTCCGTATGCCGTACAATCTACCACTCGTGCCTTACTCGGCTGATGAGCGACCTTGGTGTGCGACGTTGGCGTATGAGGAGCGGGATCGGTATGGACGTTCCTGGCCTGGTTGGGGACGTTGAAGGGGGATACCAGGCGTATACATACTTCTTACCATCACTTTTGGTGATGATGTAAATATGCCAGTCTCAGCCGAACATGATGTAGTAACGCATTGCAAACATGTGAAATTAGAAACCAGGATAACATATCATGGCTCAAAAGCCCTTTTTTTCATTCTTTTATTCATTCAACCATTGATTACGCCTTGTGGAATCATGGCATTCCCCATCTTTTCATCTCTCTTACTTGTCATACTTGGCCAGTACCTCCTCACCAGTCTTGATGTACTCCTGCTCAGCCTGCTCCTGAGTGGTTCCAGCATCGGCAACCTCCTTCCACTTGTTGTACTTGGCCTTGCCCTGTTATCATACAACCGTTAGCTTTCCGTTTCTACATCACTACCGCCAGTCTCTTCGTAGCGACGACATTCTTGCCGTCCGCCTCATCCCCATCGTTCTTCGTTATCTACGTAGGACATCGATCGCGGCGTTTCGTCCGGGAAACTCGGGTGGCGAGCGGGAACGAGGAGGCTACCCTACATGGATCTAGATGGTGAAAGAAAAGGGGTGACGTACAGTAAGATCGAACATGCCCGGCTTCTTTGCCGCGTTGATATCCGCACCCTG